GGGTTGTCTTAGGCAGCCTAATTGGGCAGAGGGGGGGGCTTTAGAAAGGTGCCCATGAATCCCGTCGTGAGGGGAATTAAAAGACTGAAGGGACCCCCAAGAACTGCCTGGGCAATAATGGGGGGTGTTTAATAATGGGGGGTTGTCTTAGGCAGTAATAGGGGGGGGCTTTAGAAAGGTGCCCATGAATCCCGTCGTGAGGGGAATTAAAAGACTGAAGGGACCCCAAGAAACTGGGCATGGGATGAGGGGGGTTTATAATGGGGGGGGGTTGTCTTAGGCAGCTAATTTTAGAAAGGTGCCCATGAATCCAGTCAGGAGGGGAATTAAAAGACTGAAGGGACCCCCAAGAACTGCTGGGCAATAATGGGGGTGTTTAATAATGGGGGGGGGGTTGTCTTAGGCAGCCTAATTGGCAGGAGGGGGGGGGCTTTAGAAAGCTGCCCCTGAATCCAGTCAGGAGGGGAATTAAAAGACTGAAGGGACCCCCAAGAACTGCCTGGGCAATGATGGGGTTTTTTTTGTTTAATAAGGGGGGGGGTTGTCTTAGGCAGCCGTAATTGGGCGAAGGAGGAGGGAGTCTTTAGAAAGCTGCCCCGCGGAGGTGTGTGTGTGTGTGGGGGGAAAAGAGGGTCCCCGTCCAGTGTCGGGCCGTTCCGCAGGCTCACCGTGTGTCAGCGACGGGGCGGTCGGCGTCGGAGGCGAAGGGGGCGTCGGCGGCGCGGGTTGTCCGGGGCCTCCCCTCAGGAAAGCCGGCACGAACTCGGCGGCGTGGACGTTGGGCACGAAGGGCTTGGCGTTGACGTTGAGGTGCCGGCTGAAGGCCGCGCCCAGGAGCTGCTGCTGCTGCTCCTCCTCCGATTCTAGCTGGGCCGAGCCGGGCCCCGACGCTGCCGCCGCCGCCGCCGTCGCCGCTGCGGCTTCCTCGTCCACGGCGGCGGCGGGCGCTTCCGCTGCTGGGCTCGAGGTCCGCCTGGTCCCAGCAATCGGGCGCCGAGTCGCTGCTGCTCCCGCTGCCGTTCGCCTCCATTTTGTACGGCCGGCCCCCTCACGAGCCTCTCTTGCGGCGGCCCAAGCGCCTCCCCGGCGGGGAGGGGAGGGGAGGGGAGGGGCGGAGAGGCGGCGGACTGACGGACGGACGGACGGCGACAAGCTGAGGCGGAGGCGGCGACCCCGGTCTTCGCTCGGGCCACGCTCCGCGTGTGCCCCACCGCCCCGACGCAGTATGGCCTCCCTCAGCTGCCGTACGCTTCGTCTTCCGTGCGCAGGCGCGGGCGCCGCCTGGACGCTCGGTAGTCCTAACGTCCTCGCGTAAGCCCTTGCGACACGTGGGCGCTGCCGGGCTGAGGACTACAACTCCCGAAAGGCGGGCGAGGGGAGAGAGAGAGAGAGAGAGAGAGAGAGAGAGAGAGAGAGAGAGAGAGAGAGAGAGAGAGAGAGAGAGAGACGCACGGGAAGCACAGCTCACTGCCTTTTCCTTTCTTTCCGCTCCCTCCCTCGCGCTTGGCGTGGATTCCTCCGTGCCTCTGCAAAAACAACAATCCCCAGCAGCCATCGCGCGGTCCTTGCCTTTTGCGCACGCGCTCTTTCTTCCTTCCCTCTCCCGATGGGAATTTTCTGATTTCTGTTGCAAAGGGAGAGATCAGAAGCAGTTTTTACGGCAAGGGAGTGGGAGTTGAGAGGTGGTGATGGATGTACTTGATGGAAATGGCATTCAAAAAGCGAGAGATTTAATGAGCCTTGTCACCAAGGAAGGAGAAGAATATTTTTTTAGAATAGAATGGAATAGAATAGAATGAAATTAGGAAAGAATGGAATGGAATGGAATGGAATAGAATAGAATAGATATAATTCTATAATTTTTTATATATTAAAAATTTTAACAACAATTTTTTCCCATCCCCTCTTTCCCCCCTTCCCTCCTCCACCCACCCCTCCCCCATCCCCTCCAACCTCCCTCCCCCCCCACTTCCCAGAGCAAAACAGTGTATAGCATAACAAACATAAGCTAAAATAATCTAACTTTCTGTAGTCTCCAAACTCCCTCTTGCTCTTTAACTCCCCTTTCAACTGACAAAACATAAGTCAAAAAGAAAATATTTATTTCATTCATAAGCTATTTGAAACTTTTTACTCCGATATTTGTTGAAATAAAATCCAATCATTCCATCTCCATTCCGATATACAGTATATTGTTTCCTAGAATGATTCGATTATTTATACCCTATCATTAATTAAATGTTGTACCTTATGATGATTGATGAATGTTCTTATCTTTTTATGTACACTGAGAGCATATGCACCAAAGACAAATTCCTTGTGTGTCCAATCACACTTGGCCAATAAAGAATTCTATCTGTCTGTCTGTCATGTCACAAATCAGGAAACTTATTTTTGCAGAACTTGAGTCATAATTTTCAAATGAGATTTGTTTCTTGGGAGAGGGAATTAATTTGCTCCAGGGGTATTAGGATGTTAGTTGGACAGTCAATAATGCTTTAATTAATCGTCCTCTATCTGATCGTAGTTAGAAAAAATGTGATTTAAGATTTAACCGTCTGGTGATTTTAATGAGCATGGGTAAGCCTTGCATCATCAGTTCTCACATGAATTATTTCCTTTCATCACCAACTGCCTGTAATGATTTTGCAAACCATATTACAGAAGATACATTATTCATTATCCTACATTATGCAAAGTGAATCGTGTTTTTTTCTCCACTTGATTATTGATGATGTTGAATTAGAAATTCATAATGATCACAAATAAGAGTACAAACTTAATCTTGCATCCCCTCTGGAAATGCTGAAGAAAGCTGCATAGAGCTTTATTTAGGGATCCGCTCTCCAAGGTACTGTACTTCTATTTTCTTATACCCAAATAATCTAATGCACCAAGAAAAATAAAATTTCCCCCATCTAAAACTATATTTACAAGCATTTCAGCAACTGAAACAAGAAAGGGAATGAAAATGTGGCGCTCTGCTGGCTTAATTTGAATTTATTTATTACATTTTTCTTTACTGATTAAAACTTATACGCTGGCTATCTCAACTAACCCTTTTTCTCCCTCACCATCTTTTTCTCCGAACCTCCCCAAGGCTGATCATTCCCACAGCCCTTTGGTTCGAAGCCCCACTTGCCTCAAGTTCTCCCACCCTGTTTCCAAGCTGGGGATAATGGAGCCTGTGGTCCCAAAGACGACCTCCACTGCTGCTCCTCCCAAATCAGAACCTGACAGAAGAGATAGAATAGAATAGAATAGAATAGAATAGAATAGAATAGAATAGAATAGAATAATAGAATAGAATAAGAATAGAATTAAGAATAGAATAGAATAGAATAATGGAATGAAGAATTAGAAGAATAGAATAGAATTAGAATAGAATAGAATAATGAAGAATTAGAATAGAATGTAATGAAGTAATAGAATAGAATAGAATAAAATAGAATAGAATAATGAATGAAGAATTAGAATACAATAGAATAGAATAGAATAAATAGAATAGAATAATGGAATGAAGAATTAGAATAGAATAATGGAATGAAGAATAGAATAGAATAGAATAATGGAATAGAATTAGATAGAATAGAATAGAATAATGGAATGAAGAATTAGAATAGAATGAAGAATTAGAATAGAATAGAATAGAATAGGAATGAAGAATTAGAATGAATGAAGAATTAGAAGAATAGAATAGAATAGAATAATGGAATGAAGAATTAGAATAGAATGATAGAATGGAATGAAGAATTAGAATAGAATGAAGAATAGAATAGAATAGAATAGGATAATGGAATGAAGAATTAGAATAGAATGAAGAATTAGAATAGAATAGAATAGATAATGGAATGAAGAATTAGAAGAATAGATAGAATAGAATAGAAATAATGGAATGAAGAATTAGATAGAATAGAATAGAATAGAATAGAATATGGAATGAAGAATTAGAATAGAATAGATAGAATAATGGAATGAAGAATTAGAATAGAATAGAATAGAATAGAATAGAATAATGGAATGAAATTAGAATAGAATAGAATAGAATAATGGAATGAAGAATTAGAATAGAATGAATAGAATAGAATAGATAATAATGGAATGAAGAATTAGAATAGAATAGAATAGAAATAATGGAATGAAGAATTAGAATAGAATGAAGAATTAGAATAGAATAGAATAGAATAATGGAATGAAGAATTAGATAGAATAGAATAGAATAATGGAATGAAGAATTAGAATAGAATGAAGAAGAATAGAATAGAATAGAATAATGGAATGAAGAATTAGAATAGAATGAAGAATTAGAAGAGAATAGAAGAATAATGGAATGAAGAATTAGAATAGAATGAATAGGAATATGGAATGAAGAATTAGAATAGAATAGATAGAACATGGAATGAAGAATTAGAAATGAAGAATTAGAATAGAATAGAATAGAAATAATGGAATGAAGAATTGAATAGAATGGAATAGAATAGAATAGAATAGAATAGAATAGAAAAGAAGAATAGAATAATGGAAGGATTAGAAGAGAAAGTATTGGAATGGAATAGGAATAGGACCAATACAAATGCAGAATATAATGGAATAGGATGGCATAGCATACATAGCATACCATATGGAAGGGACCTTATCTTCTATCCAATGCTAGGTCACACATATATACTCTTTCAGACAAAGGAGGGTCCCTTAAGGATCCCTTCCAGCACTTGTTATGCTCTTCTTCCTCCTGGCCTTTCCCCGAGATAGGCTGGGCCTGTGGGCTGCTCCTTCCTTTCTCTGCTTCCCACGCCCCCCCCACTCCCCCCCCACCCGGGAAGGCGAGCACCCGAGCCCCAACCCCCCCACCCCATCCATCCTCCTCCGCGACCACGATAAACAACACACCCCTCCCCCCTCTCTCTGCAGGACGCTTCCGGGTTCGCCGTATTTTGCTTCCGGGGCGGAGGGTCACTTCCGGCGGCTGCCGCCCTGCTCTGGCAGTCCGGGCGGGGGGGGGGGGGCGGGCGGGTGGCCGGCGGGAGAGCTCGTGTTGCTCCGGCTTCGCCAGCACCATGAGCGGTGAGTGGGGCTGCCGGTGGGGTTTTTTTTTTTTTGTGGTGTGGGGGGGTGTCCCTCCCTCTGGCTCCTGCCGAGGATGGGGGGGGGAAGGAGGGAGGGAGGGAGGAGGAGCAGGCGCTCTGCACATGCTCAGGGGCTCCCTTGCCCATGATTATTATTAGCCTCCCATCCCTTCTGCGGTTCGGGGATGAGCTGTCAAAAAAGCCTCCTTCAAATCTCTCGAAAGCTCCCGGCGCTTGGCGTATGCTCAGAGGTAACAGGGGCAAGGGCGCTCTGCACTCTCTCAGAGGCACTTTGCCTGCTTTTTTGGGGGGTGGGGGGATTGACGGGCATTGCAGTTGCAGGGTGGGGGGGGCGAGGAAGAAGGAAGCTCTCTGTACCCGCTCAGAGACTCTCATCCTCTTGCCAATTTTTTTTTTTTTCTTAAAGGGGTTGTTGGCCAGGCTCTGTCTGGGCACTCTGTACGCGCTCAGAAGCCTTCTGATTGTTTTGGTAAGGTCGTTGAGATATTCTGGGCACTCTGTACCTGCTCAGAGGCATTCCCGGCCAGTTTTCTGGAAGGGTGTTTCTGGCCGCTCAGAGGGTCTCTCCGCCAACGTTATTAAGGAGTTGATGTGGCCCTGGGCACTCTGTACCTGCTCAGAGGCATTCTCTCGTTTGCTTAAGGAGTTGAGTTTCTGGGCACTCTGTACCCGCTCAGAGGCTTTGCCACTTTTTCTTAACGGCTTGAGGAGACTCCGGACTCTTTATAGTAATTCAGAGACTCTCTGCCAATATACTTTTGGTTTCTCTTCTAATTGTATAAATCTTTTTTTTTTATTTTTTTTTTGGCCTTTTACCAATTTTCTTAAAGGGGTGATGTGGCCCTGGGCACTCTGTACCTGCTCAGAGGCATTCGTCTCATTTGCTTAAGGAGTTGACTTTCTGGGCACTCTGTACCCGCTCAGAGGCTTTGCCAGTTTTTCTTAACGGCTTGAGGAGATTCCGGACTCTTTATAGTAATTCAGGGACTTTCTGCCAATATACTTTTGGTTTCTCTTCTAATTGTATAAATCTTTATTTTTTTTTTTGCCTTTTACCAATTTTCTTAAAGAGGGTGATGTGGCCCTGGGCACTCTGTACCTGCTCAGAGGCATTCTTCTCGTTTGCTTAAGGAGTTGAGCTTCTGGGCACTCTGTACCCACCCAGGGGCACTCTTGCCACTTTTCTTAAGAGGTTAACGAAGCTTTTTAGGCACTCTGCGTTTGCTCAGAGTCTGCCCATTTTCTTAAGGGGTTGCTGACATGGTTATGGCCACTCTCTACTTGTTCAGGGACACCTTCCTATTTTTCTTTCAAAGGTGTGTTTTCAAATTGGTTTTAACTGGGTTGTTTTAAATTGATGGCCAAAATTATTTAATGCTTTTTAAACTGCTTTTAAATTTTATATGTTGTGTTTTACTGTGGCTGTTCACCGCCCTGAGTCCTGTTGGAGAAGGGCAGTATACAAATTAGATAGATAGATAGATAGATAGATAGATAGATAGATAGATAGATAGATAGATAGATAGATAGATAGATAGATAGATAGATAGATGGCAGCTGACTTTCTTGGGGTTTTTTCCCCCCTTGAAGTCATTTCGCTTCTTCTCCAAAAATCATCTTCATTTCAGTTAGTTCAGTTCTTTAGAACTGAAGAAGCTTCTTGGAGGAGAAGCAAAATATCTTCAAGGAAAAAACCACCCAAGAAAATTCAGAAAGCACTTTTCTCCATAGATATCCTCCATAGATATCCACCTATTTCTCTTATTTCTTCGAGGTGTAAAAACCCTTCTGCATCTTTCCAATTGTTTTTGTGATTGTTTTTGCTTCGGTTGTGAAAGTGGAAATAAAATGTCTAGGTTAAATCTTCTGTTAAACTTCAACTTGCTATCTGAACTAGCCGTGAGTCACTTTTTCAGAGCTAAATGACATGGCTGCAATCGCCCTCTTTTATGCTGGTGGTGGAATGGATGTCCGGATATGTAGTTACTTGACAATAGAATTGCTCAAGCGGATTTCTTTTTAATGGAACCATAAAGCGTGCACTCAGGCAGAAAATCCAGATTCATTTATTTGCACACTCGCAAACGCATTCAGTCACTTTTGATAGCTTCACTTTATAGTACCGTTACTTTAAATATTTATTTACCTCTTGAGGAAATCTGGTGGAAAGATCAACAGCATTTAAAAAAAAATTCTATTTTTTATTTATTATATTTCTTAAGTGCTTAATAAACATCGTGTTGTCTGGGTATTTAAATTGCTTAACAATATAAATTCCCTTCTTACTTTCCACCCTTTTTTCCCAACCATTTGTCTGATAATATTCCGTGTCTTCTTTCTGTTTGATTTTCAGTGTAAGTCTATCCATTTGTGCACAATCTAATATCTTCTTAATTATCTCTTCCTCTTGTGGTATTTCTTCACTTTCTCAATATTGTGCGAAAGTAATCCTCGCTGCTGTTAAGACATGTGTGCACTCAGGCAGAAAATCCAGATTCGTTTATTTGCATACTCACAAATGCATTCAGTCACTTTTGATCGCTTCACTTTTCACTACAGTTACTTTAAATATTTGTTTACCTCTTGAGGGAATCCGGTGGAAAGGATCAACAACATTTGTGTGTGCGTGTTGTTGTTGGATTTGAGTAACTTTGTTTCTCACGCTGACTCCATATTTTTACATTGTTGGCATAATGTTGCTTAGTAAGCAAACTTCCTTGCATGAGTAAATGGATACTATAGTTTCAGATATCCTTTAACTTCTTCTGCAAATCGACTGCCATAGCTAAATCCCATCTGTTACTTTAGGAAAATATCTGGAACCCAGCAGAATTTTTTAAAAAACTCACATTTTTTAAAGAAAGACTTTGCTTTGCAGCCATGATGTTATTATATTACAGTTTAAGTGACTTTCCTCCTAGGTTCCATTTAGAATATATCAGAATTTCACTGTGGTATCCATAACACCAACTGAGAAGCAGTGGCTTAGAAGATGCTCTTAATTAAACACTTCATGTGTTTAAATCCTCTTCCCTTCTGTTATATTGAAAATTACAATCTGTTGGCAAACAGCCTTAATTTCTTTTTTCCTTTTTATTTTTTTTCCTTTTTATCCCATATCAAGAAGAGAATCTTGTGGGAATTCAGGGCTTTTGGCTAAATGGAGATATTCCTAATATAATTTTGCAAGTCATGTACTCTGGAGCAGCGACTACTCATCTAAACAACAACAATTTGATACCTGTGCTTTGCGTAGAGTCATCCAATATACTCTAGCTGAATTGTTGATGTGTTGAGGCTTGTTTTTGGCATTCAGGAATAAAATGTGCAGCTGCTGAGTAAGGATGAAAAGTGATAGACTGGGCAAGACAACAATTTGATATCAGAAATGACTGCTCTTCCTTTCCTTCCTTCCCCCTACCTCTCTTGTTTCCTTGAAATCATTTAAGGAATAATTGGTCACTTATATAGAAATCAGCTCGGGCCACAAGTCCAAAGTTGAAATCCATAGTTCTCAGAAATCGTACGAGTGTGACTGAATGCAAAATTAGCAACTTAGCTCTTAACTGACGCTGGGAAACAGAATGGATGTTTCTGATTATTCGGCCATTAATAACAGTCTCCATAAATGCTGATTAGGTTTTTGGTTCACAATTTTTCTTTGTCCTACTTGAAAGCCCTGTAAATTAATTCCGAGACCCTTAAATGTGAATAATTTTCTGTGTGTAATTTTTTTGGCGCTTCCCGTAGACCTCTGACTAATAATGATGTGGCAAATATTTTGATTTTGAAGCACTCTTGTTTTGAGCTTTTAAGCGTGTGTTTTTTCAAATTGAAAACAGCGTTCTAACCTTACAGGAAGAATTACGACACCCTTCTGATAATTCCCAGAAAATTTCCCAAGCTCAAAATAGCCTCGTGTTTTGTGCTTGAAATTCCTGTTTCAGATTGGAGCCCTTGACTGTGTGTTGATCAGAAAGTTGCTTTTTAGAGTTGGATTCCTTTGGTGGATTTCTGAACCCACCCAACAAGCCTGCTTGAAAATCAAAATAGAATAGAATAGATGCACCTTGGACTGAAAAGTGTTATTGAATGCAGTCTCCTTTATTAATGCGCAGTATCCTTTAATAATGTGCAGTATCCTTTAAAATGTTTTGGATTTCAGACAGCTGGTATTTTCTTCTGGGATAATACAAAGTGTTTTTACTCTTTACTCAAGACTATCCATGTTTCATTTTGCTTCTTGATAATCCTTTCGCCCAGGGGTGGGTTCTACTTTATGCGAACTTTACTACCAGTTCGCATCGCGCCCACCCGCACTCTTCTGTGCATGCGCAAATCACCTATGATGACGTCCGGGTCAGTGGGCGGAGCCTCCTGCCGGTTTTACTACCGGTTCTTCCGAACCGGTCCGAACCAGAGGCAATCCACCACTACTTTCGCCTCCGTTCCAAGATGGGCACCCAAGCCTGCTATTAAAAGTGGATTATGGGGCCAGAAATCCGCATTTCTCAATAAACTGCAAATGCACAAAACTTCTTTCTGCAATATATCAAGTGTGCCAAGTAACCTTCTCACTTTTGCTTACTCTAGTTGTGTTATGGATACCACCCCCTCTCCCTCTCCCTCTTTTGCAGAAATAGTTCAGTTAGCTTCCAAGGAGCTGGAATTGTTTTGGAGAAAAGGAAGTAAAAAAACCCCCCTGGTTTTGCAAAGTCACGTCTCATTCGTTCTCACCTAACTGGAAACGGAAAGAATATTTAATATATCATAACACGTGTGTTCTTGAATTTTAGGGCTGCAGAACAGTGCTGCCCGAAGACAGTTTTTACTTGAGCGCTTACTGGATGCGGTTAAACAGGTGAGAAGTGGAAAGTTCACCTGTTCAAAGTTATGCTGACATTGGGGTGGGGGAAGTGCCTTGTGTCCAATTCTCGCACTTAACAATTTTGCAGCATCTCACACTTTCTTTTCTTCTTGTTTTTTTAAAAAAAAGAAATCCGGCGTTTAAAATTGTATGTTGTGCAAAACTGTTAAGTGCATGAAAGTTTATCCCAACTAGGTTTGTTCTTAACACACAGACTTTGCTTTACAGTGCCAGATCCGATTTGGAGGAAGGAAAGAGATCGCTTCTGATTCAGATAGCAGGTGAGTTTGAAATAACATGATTTTTTTTTTTTTGAATGAGAAGTTCAATCTGCAGGGGTTTGATGGAGGGCATGAAGTCTCAAAAGACGTTGAGAGCAGTGATGAAATCCAAATTTTTTAAACTACCGGTTCTGTGGGCGTGGCTTGGTGGGCGTGGCAGGGGAAGGATACTACAAACTCTCCATTCCCTCCCCACTCCTGGGGGAAGGATATTGCAAAATCTCCATTCCCCCACCACTCTGGGACCAGCCAGAGGTGGTATTTGCCGGTTCTCTGAACTACTCAAACTTTCCGCTCCCGGTTCTCCAGAACCTGTCAGAACCTGCTGGATTTCACCCCTTGTTGAGAGCCTCTGCAACAGAGGAAGACTGCCTGAGCTTTTCAGTGCCTTATTTTGTATTCCTCAAATAAATCTGTCCATGATTACTGTTGGCTGGTAGCATGATTTCTTGCCTTTTCTGGCTGGAACTGCCCAAGTAACTGAAGTATTTGCCTTAAAATGGGCTTCTTTGAGTCCATGTGATTTTTCAGAAGTGGTTTGCCATTGCCTTTTTTCTTGGGGCTGAGAGAGAGGGACTGGCCAAAAGACATCCTAACAATCTATTTCTAATGGAGCAGCTGAGCCAAGACTTTTAACACAGGGGGTGTCCAACCTTGGCCATTTTAAGACTTGTGGATTTCAACTCCCATAATCCTCCAGCCAATCAGCATCCCCTCCCCCTCATTAGAAATGTCTGGCCTCTCTTGTCAATTTTGTACTTTTTGTTCTGGCCCTCCAGCGGCCAGCAGAGCTGGCGACAGATTCGGATAGTGAGGAGGTTGGGGAGGAACCTGGGCCAGTCCTGGAGTCTGGGGAAGGCTCTGATGAGGGCTCTGCGTCGGAGGCAGAGAGGGGGCCAGGGCCGTCTGACAGTTATCAGCTGCCTTCGGAGTCTGACATCAGTGAGGCAGAGGAACAGCTGGAGCCTGTTCCCAGTGTGCGCATGCGCAGAGTTGCCAGACGAAGGGAACAGCTAAGGAACAAGGGTCGACTTGGGAGTAAGGTGGACGATAAATGGACCTTCCCAGAGGGAATAAAAGAGGAGCAAAAGGGGAGTGGAGTTTGCAGGAGACAATTAGTTCGTCTATTAGTGTGAAGATTTGCTCATCTGAGTTGGTGCCTCACAGAGACTCCTTGCCAAGTATTTCATTGTACAGCGTTGCGTTTGGAAGATATCGGCCTGGCAACTATCCAAGGACTGATAAGGCCTGTGGTTGCAGTTCATCCTTGAAAGACTGCCGGGACTTTGCTGGATGTGAATGCTAGGAATTCACATTAGCCAAATAAAAAGAGGTTTTTTTTCAGGACGAGTCTGTTTCGTGATTTGGTGACGCCTAGATCAGAATACATTTTTCAGCGTATAGGAGATGCAATTTGCCCAAACCATCTGGAGATGGTTTGGTGGGACATCTTACCAGTGACTTGATGATGGCCCAGACAGTTCGATCAACCCCAAAAGATGTCTGTAAGCAAGAGATATCATCTTTAGCAAGCCTCCCCTCGTCTTCTGTCCTTGTCGTCCTCTTTATCTTGTTCCAAACTGTAAGATGGAAAGAGGTTTGAAAACGAAAGTGATAAAAGTACAATGGATCAGGCTTGTTCTGGGAATCCCAGAAAAGCACAGGTAGAGAGAGAGAGAAATGGATTATATCTCTGCACCTCCTTGCAAATTCTTAACGGGGGGCCAGGGTGGATTTGATTTAAATCAAGTCGATTTAAATCATGATTTAAATCTCTAATAAAAAGGCTTGATTTAAATCAACCCGATTTAAATCATAATTTTTAAAGAGCAACTGTCATCTCTGTCCCGCAGCGACTCCTCTTCTGACCCTTTGTTAACTCACTGACAGCCCCAATATTGCAGAATATACAGCTTCATGCTACATAACTAAGCTCCATTTCATGCTGAATAAACTAGATTATTAATGTAATCTTAAATAGAAAACTATCTTTAGATAGATTTTTTTGTCCAAAAGCATTTTATTAAAATAAATTGAATAAAAATAATAAAAAAATCTGATTTAAATTTTTTAAAAATCCATTTTAAAAAAAAGCATCGATTTTTATCCACCCTGGCAGGGGCTATGGGGCCCCCAATTCCCACTTAGCTTTGAGGAAGTTGATATAAGAAGCTTTCATACCCCTCAGTTTCTCTTCTCTGTTTTTGGGGTTAGGGACATAATACTTAACCAATAATTTTCAGGGGATTTCTGTTGTTATGGTGCGGTTGCATCCCGTCTGTTTCTCCGGAAAAGCAATGGTGCTTCGAAGACTTGTTTCTCTTCTTCTTCTGTTTCCTTTTCATGCCATCATGGCTATTATAAAATGAAGCTGCAGGGCTGAGACGGTTTTTGCCTTGCAGTACATCTTCAGCTTTTAGAAAACTTTTAAGCCCTTGATAAGGAAATCTATAAACAGAATTAGGGAGAGGGGATTTTTAGCTCTGGAGTGGGGGTTACCCCCGATTATCTTCATTGAATGTGTGGTTTGAACATTGTCCTTTCTAAAAACGAACAAAAGAGAGAAGGGACTTTCCTTTCTCATCCTTAGACTGGTGTTTCTCAGCTCTTAGAACTTTGAGCTGGGTAGACATCAACTCTCAGAATTCCCCATCCGGCTTAAAATTCCTGAGGTTGTTTCAGTCCAAAGAGGTGTATCTCCCCCAGGAGCGTGCAGACTTTTGGGATGGACTGCTGGGGGTTCGGAGGGGTTCGGGAGAACCTCTAGCTAAGATTCTGTGCAGTTTGGAGAACCCCCAAATCCCACTCCTGGCTGACCCCACCCTGCCCCTTCCAGGAGTTCCCACACAGCCCATTTTGGATGCAGGTAAGTGCAGGGCACGTGCGGAGGCTCAGGGAGGGCCTGTTTCCGGCCTCCAGAGGGCTTCCTGGGGAGGCTGTTTTCGCCTTCCCGGAGTCTCAAGAAAAACCTCCAGAGCCTGGGGAGGGCAAAAATACCCCCACCCACCGCCATGGTGCAGGAGGCTGACTAGGCCACACCCATCATGGCCACGCTCACCCAGCAACTGGGCAGAGAACCCCTTACTAAAATTTTTGAAGCCCACCCCTGTGTCAAACGCAATTTCATTGAGGGCCGCATCAGGGCTGTGGTTGACCTCGGGGGGGCCGGGCAGGTGTGGCCGACTGGGTGGGTGTGGTCAGGTGGGCATGAGCATCTTGACGCCACTCCCCAAACTGCTGGCACGTTTCCTCTTTGCATTCGGTAGACCGGGCCGAAGCGATGCGGGCTGGTCCCTTACATTTTCCAGGATGGCCCCGTGGGTCGGATCCAGAGGTGAAATGCTCCCGATTCGGACCGGATCGCCCGATCCGGTAGCGATGGAGGCAGGTGGTTCGGAGAACCGGTAGCAAAAATCCCTGCCCCCCCCCCCCTGCCCCGCTGAGCCGTACAATCATCAGAGGCTTTTTTCCTTTTAAATGCCTCTGACGATCCAAGCTGAGTTGCCTGATCGTCAGAGGCATTTAAAAGGAAAAAAAAAAAACCTCTGCCGATCGGGCAACTCAGCTGGGATCGTCAGAGCCTTTTGAAAGCATTTTTTTACAGCCGAAGAAGTTGTAGAAAAAATGGTTTTAAAAGTTAAAAAAAAAAATTGGCCACGCCCACCCAGTCACATTACCCCCACCACCACCACCACCAAGCCACACCCACAGAACCGGTAGTAACAAATTTTAGATTTCACCACTGGTCGGATCCAACCACATCGTGGGCCGGATCCGGCCTGCGGGCCTGGAGTTTGACATCTCTGTCTTAATCCATGCCCATTTGAGATTTGACTGTGCCTCCTGTGGAGCGTTTTCCCTCGCTAAGCTTGAACCCCGGTACCACTTTGGCATCGGCAGGGCGCCGGTTTCACCTCTATTGCCATTGCACGTTAGCGCTTGGTCTCTGCTTCCCTCCCTTTTGCGCGGCGTTTCCCATTCAATCTGCGGTTTGTTTTTCAGAGTCACCTGCCTCTGCGCGCAATTTGAGTCGGTCCTTCAACATGGTTTAAAGAGGACTCGGGGATTAGCTTTAACCGCCGCCGCCATCAAACAAGTCACCGGTTTCTCCACTAAAACCGAAATGGGTAAATTCAGCCTTCTTTTTGTTTAATTATTATTTTATAAAGTTTTTTTTTATTATAAACACATTTAAAACAAGACACAAACATACAACATTTATATATCATATATATTATAATATATAAATAATATATCATATATAAATGCTGTTATATTTTTTTAACAGCTCTTTTGAAGTGGTCCTTTCTTACTATTTACACATATTTTAACTTTATCGTACTCCACTTAATGTCTGTCTTTCCTTATTTCATCTATCTTATACCTTGATCTTTAACATTTTTTCACTCTCTCCTTTATTCCTCTTTCTCATTTTTCCTATTCTCCAACCATTCATACCATCTACACCACACTTTATAATATTCTGTATCCTCTTTCTCCTTGAGTTCTTTTGTTAGTTTGTCCATCTCTGCGCGCTCTAAAATTTGTTTAATTAAATCTTCTTCTCTTGGTGGGTTTTCCTTCTTCCAATTTTGCACAAAGACACTGCGGGCTGCCGTTAGTATGTGTAATGTTAAATATTGTAAATTCAGCCTTCTAAGCATGCTTGCCGCTTCCTCATTTTTTAATTTGTTTCCGTAATAATGCTTCGGCGCGGTCTTCCTCCCGTGCCAACCGAACTCTTTTCAACAGCATTGCGGGGAGGAAGGAGGCGATGACTGTTTCTTACCCGAGTTGAAGCTTGGATGAGCCGCCATAATAATAATAATAATAATAATAATAATAATAATAATAATAATAATTCATATTTCTATGCCGCCCACGCTCCGAGGACTCTGGGCGGCTTACACCAAAGACAGTATACTAAATAGCATATTGCCCCCAACTATCTGGGTCCTCATTTTACCCACCACGGAAGGATGGATGGCTGAGTCAACCTTGAGCCGGTGAGATTTGATCCGCTGAGCTGCTGAATTAGCAGTCAGCTGAAGTAGCTGCAGTACTGCACCCTAACCACTGCGCCACCGATATATAATGGTTATTGTTTCCCATGCTGGGCACATCTCTTCTGTTGTGATTGTGTGCCCGGAGGTGCTCTGTTGGGGAAAAAAATAAAACAAATTTGGCTGCAAATCTTTTTCCTAAAAAGCAGGCAATAAATGTAAAAAATGACAGGTACACCGGTGGAGTAACTGTAGCTCTTTCTGAGTGAGTTTTTTTTGATGCTTGTGGTTCTTTGCATCGTGGTGAGTGAGCTGAGATCCTGGGAATTCACTTCACTTTGGGAGCTGAAGAGGGTAGTGGTCAGGAAGAAATATCCTTTGATTGTGGACTCTCTCTCTGCAATATATTGGTGCTTCTTCCTTGCCAATTGGAAAAGTTAAGTCGCTTTTCAGAAACACTTAAAATACGGCGATGGTCTTTGGAGAACTTCAGCTATGCTTTGCTTCCTATATCAGTGTTTCTCAATTTTGGTGGCTTTAAGATGCGCGGACTTCAACTCCCAGAATTCCTCAGCCAGCATGAATTCTGGGGGTTGAAGTCCACACACAATTTCTTAAATCAACCCTGCGATCAAGGCATTCAACCGCAAGTTTCAAGTTTATTAGATTTCTATACCGCCCTTCTCCCGAAGGACTCACGGCAGTGTACAGCGATATTAAAACACATAGATTTATAAAATTTAGAACCAATTAAAATTGAGTATAAAAATTTGGCCCGCTAATTAAAACACACATACACCCATTTTAAAATTCATACTAGGCCAGTCTGGTTTGCTGGAACAGAAGGATCTTAAGGGCGCGGCGAAAAGTCTGCAGGTCGGGGCTAAGACGAAGCTCTAGGGGCAGCTCATTCCAGAGGGCTGGCACCCCCACAGAGAAGGTTCTCCCCCTGGGTGTCGCCAGTCGGCATTGTTTGGCCGACGGCACCCTGAGGAGCCCCTCTCTGTGGGAGCGTATTGGCCGGTGGGAGGTTGTTGGTGGCAGAAGGCGGTCTCGTATATACCCCGGTTCTAAGCCTAAGCCTAAATTAACTTGGACATCACTCAAAACCTAATTTCAACATGATTTAAAATGAGATTTCTAAAATACCGTGTTTCCCCGAAAATAAGACCCTGTCTTATATTTTTTTGAACCCCGAAATAAGCGCTTGGCCTTATTTTCAGGGAGGTCTTATTATTTTGGGGCACGTGGAACAAGATGGGGCTCCTCTTGCCGTCTTAATGATTTCCAGCTCTGCATTTAAATATTTTCAGGGAGGGCTTATTTTCGGGGGGAGGCTTATTTTAGCGCATGCGCTCAAAAGCCCGATTGGGCTTATTATCAGGGGATGTCTTATTTTCGGGGAAACAGGGTAGTAGAACAGCCTATCTTGCAAAGCTCTTTTGAGTTAATGTTGGAGCATCCAATCTTGGCTGCTGATTCCCCAGCCAGCATGAATTGTGGGAGTTGAACTCTAGACATGATTTCTGGAAATTCGTGGATTCTGGGAATTCTGGGAGTTGAAGTCCACACATCATAGAGTAGCTGGCTAGGAAATTCTTCTACACGTCTTAACATCTCCAAGGTTGAGAAACATTGTCCTATGTGATTGGCTATGGGCTATTTTAAATTTTACTGCTATTTTATGAGATCAACTCCGCGATGGTGACAGGAAGGGCATCTGGCCAGTAATCACTCAGCTCCATTCAGTTGCCCAGACTCCACTCCACAAAGGATTATGGGGTCATTAAAAGATGGTGAATTATGATTTAAAAACATTTTTTTTAATGGTTTGAGATTTGTAATTGTGGCAGTGTATAAGTATTGGGAAGGAATAAATTGATTGAGAGTTCTGTGTTCTCCATCCATTCTTAGCTGCCCAGAGTTGCGATGTTGAGATGGGTAGCCAAACTTCAAGCGTACTTGTGAATCTAGCTTTTTTCCTCCTCAGAATCCATATTCCGGTACTATGTGAAAAAAGTTCTTTCCTCCTCCCCCCCATGTTTTATTTGTTTTATTTATATAACATTCAATTTTCATAAACAGTGTGTGTTATAGTCATATTACCCATCTTTGTTGTGATATTCATCACCATCATATTGATAATATAATAACGTAATAATATAATAGCATTAATACTTAACACTTAACACTTCTTCTTTAACAACTTTACCACTTTACTATTTCCCTTTTTTTATATTTCCTCCTTTCTAACTTCTGTTTCTGTTATCTAGCCATTGATAAAATATGTCCCATATCAAAAAATACTCAGTTTCTTCTTTATCCTTAATAGCAAGTGTTAGTCTGTCCATTTCTGCACATTCTAATATTTTCTTCATTACATTCCCCTCGGACGGGAACTCATCCTTTTTCCATTGTTGCGCAAATGCAATTCTAGTTGCGGTTAGTATATGCAGGATCAAGTATGCAAGTCTTTTTAATTATATTTTTCTGGTGGAATACCCAACAAAAATATCTCCGGTTTCAGATCTATGTGTTGTTTTATCATTTTTTTCCCAAGCCACGTGTGTCTTTTCGTCCAGTATTTTCTTGCTTTTGGGCATGTCCACCACATGTGGTAATATGTGCCAGATGATCGATTACACTTCCAACGTTTAGCAGATCTGTCTTTATGCATTTTTGCCAATCTTGCCGGTGCAAACTTCAAGCATACTTGTGAATCTACCCTTTTTCTCCTCAGAATCCATATTCTGGTACTATGTGAAGGAAGTTCTTAATAAACACGAACTGCAACGTTTCTATTCTCTGAGGAACATCACTACGGATACGGGGCGAGGCCGGGCTTGGCTACGCTGTGCTCTCAATGAACATTCCCTAGAAAGATATTTGCACATGTTGCTTGCTGATAAAAACCATCTTAGGTAAGTTTTCTATCTGCTCTTCTTCATGGGGGAAGGTTTTGAAAACGGGGCTTTTAGGTAGATATGCCGTAGTTCTCGGGAAAACAGAACATTCGTAGCTCAGGGTTGAACAGTGGGGTTTCTCTGAGCTTGGTTGTTTCCTGGCAGACATTTCATGACCCAAATAGGTAACATCATCAGTGCTAGAAAGGAGTGGAGTTTGCAGGGGGGAGGAGGAAGAGGAGGAGGAGGAGGAGGAGGACTGTGGGATCCTTGGTGCTCTCTGAGTTTGGTTGTTTTCTAGCAGACATCTCATTACCCAAATAGGTAACATCATCAGTGCTAGAAAGGAGTGGAGTTTGCAGGGGGGGAGGAGGAAGAGGAGGAGGAGGAGAACTGTGGGATCCTTGGTCCTCTCTGAGTTTAGTTGTTTCCTAGCAGACATTTCATTACCGAAATAGGTAACATCATCAGTGCTAGAAGGGAGGGGCATTTGTGGGGGGGGGGAGAGGAGGAAGAGAAGGAACTTAGCTGTTTTCTGGCAGACGTTTCATTACCAAACTGGACCACAGCATCAGTCCTAATAATAATAATAATAATAATAAAACGGATATCCATTTGTCTGAAATTGTACCGGATCTCCTGCCACGGGCAAAGATTTTTGGGCTAGAAATCCTCCAAACCCTACTGCAAGTAGTCCTCGACTTATGACAGTCGAGCCCAAAATTTCCACTGCTAAGCAAGACAGTACTTTTTTTGTGTGTGTGTGTGTATTTTTACCTTGTCTTTTGTCTCCAGTGTCTTCTATGAAGACTGGTCCTTCTTGATGGATGAAGAACGCTCCAGTATGATTCCCACCATGGCAGCTGGTAAGCATGGCCCAATGTCTTCGAACCAAGCCAAGGCAGCTTAAAAAGCTTCTGGGTTCGTTCGTTGTCTAGCTATGATTTAAGTAAATCATTTAAGCTGCATCCTGCTGAATAATCTGCAGCAAGGGGGTTCTGCCCCAGCTACGGACCCCAAAGAACGCAGCATACACAAAGTCTGTACAAACCTTAGTTTACTAAATTGAATCAGGGTGTTTTTTTTTTTTCAAACAAAGGCTGTTAATTAACTTTCTTAACAGCCTACAAGAATCCAAAGAATAAATCATCTTAAATCTTACTATGGTTGGCAGAAAACCCAGAAGCAATTTGCAGAGAACTAAGACTAAGGCACGAAGGAGAGTGAATGAAGTTGTTCCCTGCAAATTGCTTCAGTCGTCATCCTTCCTTAAATAGGCTAAGGGAGTGGGTTTATGAAGTGGCTGTTTTGTTTCCCCAGCGTACAGATCTGCAAAGGGCTCACTGCAGCAACTGATCGAATCTAACTGATAATGAAGAACTTCCTCTATATAAATCAGGGGCGTCCAACCTCGGCGGCTTTTAAAACCTGTGGACTTCAGCTCCCAGAATTCCCCGGCCAGACATGCTGGCTAGAGGATTCTGGGATTTGAAGTCCACAAATCTTAGTCGCCAAAGTTGAATGCCCCTGACGTAAATAGTTCTGTCTCATTTCCTTCATTTTCCTCTGGCCAATCCTAATCTGTTTTTTTTTTCCTCACATACCCCAGCCCACTGAAGGTTGTAGCATCTGTGTTCTTTTTCACAACATCGAACCCACCATAGTCTAGACTTTCTTGTCTCAAAGAATGCACCACTGTAACTCTTGGAAAAAGAGCTTCACAGCTAGAAAGTTCAGCTTCTTGCATCTCGAAAGAAAAAGCTATTTTATGTATTTATTTTTGTATGGAGTAGTCCCATTCATATCAATTTAGGGCCAGGGGTCAGCAACGCACGGCTCTGGAGCCGCATGTGGCTCTTTCCTCCTTCTGTTGCGGCTCCGTCTCGCCAGTTGGCACCACAATTTTGAGAGGAGCTTCCGGTTAGGGAGGGGAAAAGCACAGCGCGCCAGGAGGAGACTCTATGGCAAGGGGCGGGTTTTCCAGTCAGCTCCACAATTGATAGGGCTTTTGGTTAGGACAGGTAGAGGAAAAAGGATGCCGCACTAGGAGGAGACTCTATGGTGGGGGGAACCGGACTTCCGGTTGGCAGAAGAAAAAGAGCGCTGCGCTAGGAGGAGACTCTATGGTGGGGGAACCAGACTTCCGGTTGCCAGAAGAAAAAGGACGCTGCGCTAGGAGGAGACTCTATGGTGGGGGAAACGGACTTCCGGTCGGCTCCAGAATTGAACGGGGTGTGTGTGTGTGTGTTTCCGGTTAGGACCCTTGTGGCTCTTTGAGCGTTTAAGGCTGCCGACTCCTGATTTAGACTGACCTAAAATATTGGTTGTTTTTTTCACCCCCGTTTCTGCTTTATCCAAAGGGCTGAACTCTATTCTTTTTGCCATCAACATCGATAATAAGGATTTAAACGGGCCGAGCAAATGCCCGCCCTCCGTCTCTGAGCTCCTCAAGGAATCGACCCAGAACGTGACCTCTTTGCTGAAGGAATCCACCCAAGGTGTCAGCACCCTCTTCCGGGAGATCACAGCTTCATCCCCTGTTTCCATGCTCATCAAATCTGACCAAGATGCTGACCTGCTGCCTATTTTATCCAAGAGTGTCAGTGGCGGTATGTGCTCTTCGCTTAATGACCAGTTGCTTAGTGACTGTTCAAAGTTAGAACAACCCCTCCCCCTCCCCAAAGTTACTTATGACCGGATACTGAAGTTCTGACAGCTGCACAGACACACCCCCTCCTTGCAATCCTACGAACACATTACAAACACTTGGCAGCCGGCAAATGTTTATGGCTAGTTCTGCAGTGTCCTGCAGTCATGTGATTTACAATGTATTTTGTAAGTTTCTTGTTTCATTTAATGACCATGGGCTTTGCTTAATAACCATGATGTTTGCTTAAGGATCGCCACAAAAAAGTTCGTGAATTCAGGTCAGGTCAGGTCACATCTACTTCTACTTCTACATCTACTTCTACTTCTACTTCTACATCTACTTCTACTTCTACTTCTACATCTACTTCTACATATACATATACATATACATATACATATACATATACATATACATATACATAAAAGGTAAAGGTTCCCCTCGCACATATGTGCTAGTCGTTCCTGACTCTAGGGGGCGGTGCTCATCTCCGTTTCAAAGCCGAAGAGCCAGCGCTGTCCGAAGACATATCCGTGGTCATGTGGCCGGCATGACTCAACGCCAAAGGCGCGCGGAACGCTGTTCCCGTCCCACCAAAGATGGTTCCTATTTTTCTACTTGCGCTTTTTTACCTGCTTTCGAACTGCTAGGTTGGCAGAGTAACGGGAGTTCACCCCGTTCCGCGGCACTAGGAATTCGAACCGCTGAACTGCCGAACTTTCGATCGACAAACTCAGCATCTTAGCCGCTGAGCCACTGCGTCCCTTTATACATATACATATATATTACATATGTGTGTGTGCGTGCACACACGCACACAAAAATCAGAAATTGGGATCCAACTAAGTTTCGTATTTTGAAGGAGAGAATGCAGCTTTATCATCCTGCTTCTACGAATTTGCTAGACCAAGATTTATCTGAGTAAATTGAGAAAAAAGGATAAGTTTATCGCCCTGTGATTAAAGCATTCAACCACAAGTTAACCCCCTTGAACTCAGTTTGGACATCCCACAAAACCTGATTTCAACGTGGTTTAAAACGAGATTTTGAAAATAGTAGGACAGTCTTATCTTGCAAGCTCTTAGGTGTTAAGTCTGGAGTATCCAACCTTGGCAACTTTTAAGACTCTACAGATTTCAACTCCCAGAATTCAATTCCCAGCATGGCTGGCTGAGGAATTCTGGGAGTTGAAGTCCACAGGTCTTAAAAGTTGCCAAGGTTGGACCTCGAGTTAAAAGTCTTTCCCTTGGGGCCACTCTTCCTTCTTTCAGATTTAAAATGCCGGAAAGATCGAACGAAGAAAAAGAAGAAAATCACAAAAATCATTTCGTTCGATGATGAAGAGGGCCAACTTTTCGGGACCCCCTTACGGGGGACAGTGGCAGGAGAAGACTCCGAAGACGGCTGCGACAGACTTTCCGCCTCGGCAGCTTCTTCGGTAACTGAACAGGCGGATCTTCTGCCTGGCAACCAGGATGGAACGTCGCTGAAACATCATTCTGAGTACCTGAACGGGGACTGCAGCTACCTGAAACTGGATGTCAAAAGCATAGATGATGAAGAGGCCGAAGAGAACGAGGAGAATCGCGCCAGAACATTGAGGAACCACAATGTGATGGACGACACACAGGTGCTCACAAAGTGAGTCTGGACCGAATACAGGTAGTCCTTGCTTAACGACCGGTCGTGGACACACCCCCCCCCCCACAAAAGATTCTTATTATCTGTCCTTGAAGTTACAACTCCCCCTGGTGGTTACGTAATTGTCGGACCTGCCACAACTTAAACCTCCAAATTAAAAAAAAAAAACGATCCTTGGCTCCATTTGTGGAGAAAGGTATAGTTTATTAGAGGTCAAGTGCATTGCAGTAGTGCAAAGCCAGAACTGAGAATCGCGGGCCCAAATGCCTAAGTTCTACTTTTCCTTCTTTAACTACCTCTCATTGCTCACCCTGGTATAACCAATCAGGTTCAGGCAGGATGTATTCACAACGATCAGTCCTAAGTGCAGTTTGGCATGTGGCCCACCTCCTCCTTCCAGCTGGGAGACCTTGAGGCAGCATCTCAAGGAGATACAGCGCTTACTTTCGTTTCCCCAAACATTCCTCCCTTTCTTCCCTCTCCCCGCAGTTCATGGCAGTCTGTCATTGCATCGCAGCGAAGCGCAAGCAGGTGTAAGGTAGCAGCTGACAGTACTAGCTAGCATTTCATGTGCTTGGCAACCGGCTCCTATTTATGTCCTGCCATCATGTGATCATGATTTGTGATGTTTTATGGCCAGTTGGTGATGTTTTTGGCCATTGTCTGGCAAAAATCGCTCCATCAGGAGCAGGGTGGATTTGATTTAAATCGAGGTGATTTAAATCACAATTTAAATCATGATTTAAATCGCTAGTAAAAAGGCTTGATTTAAATCAACTCGATTTAAATCATAATTTTTAAAGAGCAACTGTCATCTCTGCTACTCCTTTGACCCACTGTTGACTCACCGATAGTCCCAGTGTTGCAGAATATACAGCCTCGTGCTACATAACTAAGCTCCATTTCATGCTGAATAAACTAAATGATTTACGTATCTTAAATAGAAAACTATCTTACGATAGATTTTTACCCCAAAAGTTTTTTATTAAAATAAATTCGATAAAAATAAAAAAAATCCAATTTAAATAAAAAAAAATCTGATTTTTTTTATTTTTTAAAAAAAATCATTGATTTTTATCCCCCCTGATCAGGAGATTGAGTTGAGTTAACTTGCCTGGGTGCCTTTCTTTACAAACCGTGGGGTTTGCTCAATGACTGCCGAGAACTGTTTTACAACCGTTGTAAAATTGAGTCAGGTCACATGGTGGCCCGTTTAACAACGGCCGTGACTTAACGACCGAAATTCCGGGCTCAGGTGTGGTTGTTAAGTGTGGTTGTTACCTCTGGAGACATTTTTTGTGCCTTACTTCAAGTTACGGTATCATGTACTTCGTCATGTACGTGAGAAATCCAAGAATCTGCCTTAAGTTCAAAGGGCGGTTATGTAGACCGCCCTTTGAACTTAACATTTCATAGAAAGGCCACCATGTGGATTGACCAGCAGTGACCAACTTTGGCCACTTTTAAGACTTGTGGACTTCAACTCCCAGAATTCCCCAGACAGCCAAGCTGGCTGGGGAATTCTGGGAATTGAAATCCACGGATCTTAAAAGTGGCCAAGTTTGGACATTCCTCTGTTAAATTGCATCCTTTCCCACCACTTACTATTTTTTGGGGGGGTTGTCTTAAAATAATTAACTAGACCTTCTGAAGGTGTGACGTCCCATTCGCTGGTTTGCACGGGGACGCCTCTACAAATGTTGAACGATGACGCGGATGAATTATTCCCAGTCAGCGCTGTGGGTTCTTTTCCCCAGACTGGTAAGTACCTGTATTTGGGCAAAACTCACTTAACAACCGTCTTGTTTAACAATGGAAATATTGAGCTCAATTGTGGTTGTAAATCAGGGACTATTTATAGTAAAGAACTGGAGAGGCTTTTTGTTTAGCGACTATGTTCCTAACTTCGGTCGAATTCCAGCATTTTAGTGCTTAAGTTGCAGAACATAGGAACTTTAAAAAAAGAAAAAGAAAAAAAAATTCTATGCCAGCTAGTCATTTTATACAAATTATGCTTTTATTTCCTTCCCACGCCATTCATTATGGGGAATTCCAACCCAGCGGACAATTTAGTGCATGAATTATTTAAAAATCTAATAGAGAAGAGGAAAGCCATTATGCAGCAGCCATAAAAGAAAAGAAAGCAATAATAAAATTCAATTAGGCTCGGGACAGGTTGGTCGAGGAGAGTTCGTGTTTAGGACATTAGAGCTTACGCAAGGAAGGTTAGGCCTGGGGCTATAGAATTGTAGGAAGAAAAGCTTGTATCCTTTTGTTTTTATTTCCCATTTCCTTAGCACCAAATATGCTGATCCCTGGCTATCAAAAGCTATACATCTGTAAAAGAAAAATGTATAAATAATATATATCTATGCATATTCTTTCTAGCCAGGTTTTACCCACGTAAACTAAGTTGTTCTGCAGCCTAGGTTCTGTGAAATCTCATTCACAAGCTTCTAGGCTTTTTTTTCTGTTGACAAACTGCAACTCTGTGTTGCTCTCTGTGTTGCTCTCTATATCTATATATCTATGTCTATGTATCTCTGTCTCTATCTATCTATCTATCTATCTATCTATCTATCTATCTATCTATCTATCTCTATCTCTCTATCTCTCTATCTCTCTATCTCTCTATCTCTCTATCTCTCTCTCTCTCTCTATCTATCTATCTATCTAATCTATCTATCTTTATCTATCTATCTAATCTATCTATCTATCTATCTATCTATCTATCTATCTATCTATCTATCTATCTATCTATCTACTTATCTGTATATGTCTCTCTTTCTCTCTTTATATATGTCTATATCTATCTATTTCTATTTCTATATCTATATAATATATATATTAACAGATGGATACAATACCACTCTATAAAGCCTTAGTAAGACCACACCTAGAGTACTGCATTCAGTTTTGGTCACCACACTATAAAAAAGATGTTGAGACTCTAGAAAAAGTGCAGAGAAGGACAACAAATATGATTAGGGGACTGGAGACTAAAGCATATGAAGAACGGTTGCAGGAACTGGGCATGGCTAGTCTAGTGAAGAGAAGTACATGAGAGCAGTCTTCCAATATTTGAGGGGCTGCGACAGAGAGGAGGGGGTCAAGCTGTTTTCCAAAGCACCTGAAGGCCAGACAAGGAATAATGGATGGAAACTGATCAATCTAGAAATGAGGAGGAACTTTCTGACACAGAGAACATTCAACCAATGGAACAGAAGTTGCCTTTGGAAGTTGTGGGAGCTTCATCCCTGGAGGCTTTCAAGAAAAGATTGGACTGCCATCTGTCAGAAATGGTGTAGGGTCTCCTGCTTGAGTGGGGGGTTGGACTAGATGACCTATAAGGTCCCTTCCAACTCTGTTAATCTGTTACTTTCTCTCCCCCACCCCATCTCCATCTCCATCTCCATCTATATCTATATATAAACTATCCATCTCTGGAGTAGGGTAGCCAAAGGAGGTCTGAAGACATAACCAAGTTGACAATCTAAAACTAGGTTTTCAAATAATGTTAACCTGTGGTTTGTTTAACCATGACCTTTGGGATAAACAGCCATTGTCTTGGGTTTACAAAAGATGCTGCTGCAGAGCTGAACAACTTACATCCCAGGTTCATGAGATCTGTGGAACCTGTCAGTAGTTTTACTCCTTGTAGTGATCATCATCGGAGTGACCTTGCTCTTTCTTCCAGGTTGAGGGCGTGAGCTGTATTAATTCTCCCCCCCTTTTTTTTTTGCTATTCCTATTAATTTGCTTAATTCTTAGCAAAGGAGGTTTTCAATCTTAAATAAAGGGATACAATAAATTTCAGCCTCCAGATTTTAGAATAGAATAAAATAGAGTAGAGTAGAGTGAATACAGAGTAGAGTATGGAATAGAAAATAGAACAGAAAAGAGGAGAGGAGAAGGGAGGAGAAAAGAGAAGAGAAGAGAAGAGAAGAGAAGAGAAGAGAAGAGAAGGACCTGGTGGCTCAGCGGACTGATAGCATTGTGATTAACACCGGCTGTCTGCAATTACTGTAAGTTCGAATCTCACCAGGCTCAAGGTTGACTCAGCCTTCCATCCTTTCTAAGGTAGATAAATTGAGGACCCAGATTGTGGGGGCAACAAGCCGACTTTGTATAAAATATACAAAAGTATGAAGGCTATTGCTTAATGCATTGTAAGCCGCCCTGACTCTCCGGAGAAGGGCGGCATATAAATCAAATTAAAAAAAAAAAAAAAGAAGAAGAAGAGAGGAGAGGAGAGGAGAGGAGAGGAGAGGAGAATTGAATTCTTTATTGGCCAAGTGTGATTGGACACAGAAGGAATTTGTCTTCGGTGCATAAGGTTACAGTGTACATAAAAGCAACAAGTGATAAGCATTAAGTTTGCAGACATTGCAGAAAGAGAGTGGTGTTAATGTATGGCAGTTAAAAACCAGAAAGAATTTAGTAGCACCTTTTCCAAGTAACATTTCTTTTTTTCTCAAGGTATATGTTTTAATGAAAAGCTTACACCTTTTAATGAAACTTGTTCGTTGGAAAAAGTGCTGCCAGACTCCTTCCAGTTGTTTCATTTCATGTATTGTTATTTCTTCACCTCGACATTTTCATCCGGAGGGGAATTTCCCCGACACAGATGAATTTGGAGTGGAATTTAACAAGTCAGCGCACAAAAAGAGAATGTGTGAGAATGTATGTGATAACAGAATAGCAGAATAACAGAATAAGTTGGAAGGGAACTTGGAAGTCTTCTACTCCAACTCCCTGCTCAAGCAGGAGACCCTGAAATAATGATAATAGTAATAATAGTAATAATAGTAATAATAGTAATAGTAATAATAATAATAATAATAATAATAATAATAATAATAATAATAATAATAACAACAACATTTTGACTCTACAAAAAAACCACCTTAAGCTGGATGTAACCAGTTTACATCCTCCGACGATACCTTAACAGTTCCTAGGTCCTTGGTTAGGACTCGAGCTGCTGAGCTATTAACCAGCCTCAAAGGCTGTGAATCTCACTAAAGATTAACCAATAATAATAATAACAACAACAATAAAACAACAAACAACAACAACAATAATAATAACAATAACAGGATCTTATTTTCAGGGAAGCACGGTAATAATAATAACTTTATTGCCATTGTACGTGTATACATAGTATACCCATACAACGAAATTCACTTAACACCCAAAGACGAGGTCCAACACACATAACAATCCCCAAACACACTCCCACCCATCACAATTCCCCACCCCTAAACCATCCAAACATCCACACCACAGACCAAGTAATGCTGTCCAACAGCTCACTGATGGTGGCCCTTTAGTTCATTGTTGAGTGCCATTATAGCTCTGGGATCAAAACTATTCAAAAGACGTGTGGTCCGAGTTTTAATTGTTCTGTATCTTCTGCCAAAAGGCAACAGTCCAAAAAAGATTGTAAGCAGGATGGGAAGAGTCTCTGAGAATGTTGTGCAACTTCCTCAAACAGCAAATGAAAGACAAATGGCTGTCCGATCGCTTCTTAAAAACCTCCAGTGTTGGAGCATTCACAACTTCTGAAGACAAGCTGTCCCACTGGTTAATTGTTCTCACTGTCAGGAAATTTCTCCTTAGTTCTAAGTTGCTTCTCTCCTTGATTAGTTTCCACCCGTTGCTTCGTGTCCTGCCTTTAGGTGTTTTGGAGAATAGCTTGACCCCGTCTTCTTTGTGGCAACCCCTTTAGATATTGGAACACTGCTATCATGTCACCCAGAGGTGGCATTCAGCTGGTTCAGATTGGTTCGCCTGAACCAGTAGCGGAAATCATGGGTGGGCCTGCCCACCCGTCCCAGCTCTATGCCTATCCTATTTAGACACGTTTTTAACCCGCCTGCATGCATGCAAGCCGCACACACATTTGCGAACTGATAGGGAAGGTAAGTGAATACCACCCCTGATGTCACCCCTGGTCCTTCTTTTGTGTATGCGTGTAGAGTTGAAAAAGGGAAGAACTATAAGTCTAGGAGGATAATACGCCATACTTTTGCTAACATATATTTCTACTGACTACTTTAGAAAATCTGGAGGACGGCAACGAACACGGAAATGCAGACTTTTCAGTAGAATTGACTCCGAGCAATGCCGAATTGCACTACAGGTAATTAACTACCATATTTTTCGGAGCATAAGACGCACCGGAGTATAAGACACACCTTAGTTTTTGGGGAGGAAAATAGGGGGAAAAAATACCTGCCTACCAGGTATTCATCTGGCTAGTCCAGGGGTCTGCAACCTTAAATTTTTAGCATTTTATTAAATTTGTATACCGCCCTACTCCCGAAGGACTCAGGGCGGTGAACAGCCATGAAATAAAACATATAAATACAAAATTTAAAATAGAAATAAAACAAGTTAAATAAATTTGGCTGAACCATATTTAAAACCCCAATAATTTAAAACCAAATTTAAAATTCCCATTTAAAAGAGGAGAAGTTTAGGTCAGGCCGGCTTGCTGGAATAGGAACGTCTTCAGCCTTAAATACTGAACGTCTGAACGTCTTCAACCTTAAATACTGAAAAGAGCCATTTGGACCCGTTTCCCACAGAAAAGAAAACACCGGGAGCCACAAAACCTGGGTGGGCGTGGCCAACTTGATGTCACTCACTTCCACCAGTCACATGACCCCCCCCCAGCCACGCCTACCCAGCCGGTCATTAGAGCAGAGAACCGGTTGCTAAAAAACACCGGGAACCACAAAATCATTTTGACAAATCTCTCTCTCTCTCTCTCCCTCCCTCCCTTCCTCTCTCCCCCAACTCTCCCTCTCTCTCTGTATCTCTCTATGTCTCTCTCTCCCCCTCTCTCTGTATCTCTCTGTCTCTGCCCTGGCCGCTTCTCCATCCCCCACTGTCGTCCTTACCTTCTCAGGCCAGGCGAGGAGTGACTGGGAGGGGTGGGTGAGGGGCGGGGCCAGCCAGTGGTGGGATCACCTGACAGGGAGCCACAGCAGAGGGCCCAAAGAGCCACATGTGGCTCCGGAGCCGCAGGTTGCTGATCCCTGGTTTAGCCTAACAAAGAGGAGTCTTAAAGGAGACATGTTTGGTGTAGTGGTTAAGACTTTAGGCTAAAAACCGGGAGGTTGGGAGTTCTAGTCTCACTTTAGGCATAAAAGCTGGCCGACTGGGTGACCTTAGGCCAAGTCCCTCTCTTTTGTCTCTAGGAAGCAAGCAATGCTTGCTTGTTAGTTCAGTCTAATCTGAACCTTCTTACATTTGTCGTGCTGTTTTAGACACTGGCCATTCTGAAGTCGGTTGAGTTGAGCTAAATCAGGAGGTTTCCAACCTTGGCAACTTTTTAAGCCCGGTGAACTTCAACTCCCGGCAAAGCTGGCTGGGGAATTCTGGGAGTTGAAGTCCTCCAGGCTTAAAGTTGCCAAGGTTGGAGACCCCTGAGCTAAATCATCTTACATTCATATGTCTTGATGTCAGAGTTTAGATTTGAACGATTTAGTGGTCTGTGTTGGCTAGAGAAGACTTCCTTGGATAGCCCAATCCATATTCCTAGAGAATTGAGGGATTCCAGGCTGCAAAGGCTCCTACGGGGTGATTTGATTAGTCTGGAGCGGGGGTCGGCAACCTTAAACACTCAAAGAGCCACAAAGGCCCTAACCGGAAGCCCCCCCTCCCCCCTGTTCAATTCTGGAGCCGACCAGAAGTCCGGTCCCCCCACTATAGAGTCTCCTCCTAGTGCGGTGTCCTTTTTCCTGTAACCAAAAGCCCTATCAATTCTGGAACCAACCGGAAAACCCGCTGTTTGCCACAGGCCTGGCCTGAATAGGTTTTACGGGTTAGTTTTTTAATTGTATAGCTTGGGGTTTTAAATTGGGAGGCCGTTTAATTTAATTTATTTTTAATTATCTTAACTTTTATATTGTATGTTATTTTAATTCTTGGCTGTTCACCGCCCTGAGTCCCTTTGGGGAGAAGGGCGGGATATAAATTTAATTAATAATAATAATAATAATAATAATAATAATAATAATAATAATAATAATAGAATCTCCTCCTGGCATGCCATGCTTCTCTCCCCCCCCCACCTCCAAAACCGGAAGCTCCTCTCAAAATTGTGGTGCTATTTTCCCTATTTTGTATTATACACTGGGTGTGGTTTTGTCTTTTGTCTTTTGTGTTTACTTAAAAACTTAATAAATTTTTTTTTAAAAAAATTGTGGTGCTGACCAGTGACAGGGAGCCGCAGCAGAGGGATGAAAGAGCCACATGCGGCTCCAGAGCCGCAGGTTGCTGACCCCCTGGTCTGGAGCAAATTATTTTTGACTCTTGTTTCAGTCGTTCTAATGGTTTTAGTTGCTTTATTATTATTATTATTATTATTATTACCGATCTCCCTCTCTGTTTTTACACACAGGGTAGAAGCTAGCTCTCCTGTCCACAAGAATGCATTAACCGAACTTCTGCCTTCCGATAGCGTGCCAGAGTCGATGACTGTGGGTAGGTAGCTATTCGACTCTATTTGGAATTTGTTTTTTGTTTTTTTAAAAAAATCCTTTGGATCGTGAGGAAAAAGTTTCGTCAAAACATGTTGCCATCTGGGGAGACCCTCAAAGCTGTAGGTTTGTTGAGGCTTGGCATTTGCCGCTTGTGGCTGCTAAATATTTTTTACGAATTCTGCCTAAACCGCAAACATTTAACTTTCAAACTGAGGTAAAGGTAAAGGTTCCCCTCGCACATATGTGCTAGTCGTTCCTGACTCTAGGGGGCGGTGCTCATCTCCGTTTCAAAGCCGAAGAGCCAGCGCTGTCCAAAGTCGTCTCCGTGGTCATGTGGCCGGCATAACTAAATGCCAAAGGCGCACAGAACGCTGTTCCCTTCCCACCAAAGGTGGTCCCTATTTTTCTACTTGCATTTTTTACGGGCTTTCGAACTGCTAGGTTGGCAGAAGCTGGGACAAGTCACGGGAGCTCACCCCGTTACGCGGCACTCGGGATTCGAACCGCTGAACTGCCAACCTTTCGATCGACAAGCTTGGCGTCTCAGCCACTGAGCCACCATGTCCCTAATTCCGAGCTGAATGAGCGACCAAATTGCTTGATTGAGGCTATTCTAGTATTCGGAGATGGAACTCCTTTCTGTGTGGATGCTACTTGACTGATTATTTTATGAACCTCATCATAGTACAGATAGTCCTTAACTTACAACAGTTCATTTAGTGACCATTTGAAGTTACTCATATTTATGACCATTGCAGTATCTTGGGGTCAGGTGATACCCTTTTTAACCTTCTGATGAGCAAAGTCAATGGGGAAACTAGAGTCATTTAACAACTATGTTACTACTTTATCAACTGCAGTGATTCACTTAACGGTGGCAAGAAAGGTCATAAAATAGCAATAGCCCTTCACAGCCCTCTCTAAGCAGTTTTACAGAGTCAACTTCTTGCCCCCAACAATCTGGGTCCTCATTTTACCCACCTCGGAAGGATGGAAGGCTGAGTCATCCTTGAGCTTGTCAGGATCGAACTCCTGGCTGTGGGCAGAATTAGCCTGCAATACTGCATTCTGACCACTGCGCCACCAGGAAGGAGAATGAGAAAGGGAATAGGGAAGGGAAGGGAAGGAAGGAAGGAAGGAAGGAAGGAAAGGAAGGAAGGAAGGAAGGAAGGAAGGAAGGAAGGAAGGAAGGAAGGAAGGAAGGAAGAAAAAAAACAACAACAGCAATAGCACTTATATACCGCTCCACAGTGCTTTTACAGCCCTCTCTAAGCGGTTTACAGAGCCAGCCTATTTTCCCCCAACAATCTGGATCCTCATTTTACCCACCTCGGAAGGCTGGAAGGCTGAGTCAACCTTGAGCCAGTGAGATTCAAACTGCCAAATTGCAGGCAGCCGGCAGTCAGCAGAAAGTAGCCTGCAGTACTGCATTCTAACCACTACTGCACCGCAGCGAGGCAAAACTCACTTAACAAACGTTTCACTTAGCGACAAAAAAATGTTGGGCTCAATTGTGGTCGTAAGTCAAGGACTGCCTTTCATTTTGCAGCACGCAACCAACATTTTTTGAGAAATGTTTTTGAGCCATTGAAGGTTTAGTAACACCAGTCGTCCAGGAGGGGGCAGCATTGCCTCTATGTTTGCTGATTCTGTATATCTATATTCAGCAATTGACATTTTTCCTAGTGGCTTTGCGCATTTAAGTGGATGACAGTAACCTTGATTCACAGTTACCCGGGAAGATGACTTAACTTCAGCGTCCCTATGCTTTAAAAATAAACTCATCAGAGTTGTGAATATTTTAAAAAAAAGAAGAAGAAGATCCAGAAGATATGCTGGCACGAATGCTATAAGTTTCTGCTGTTCATTCAAACGAATAACTTTTCTCTTTCTGGTTTCTACATGAGCCTGCAAACAATGAGATATTTGGTTTGAAAGCCACAATAACTTGCTTGAAGGGATTTCTTGAAGCAGTAATTCATTTGATTGATTCAGGATTGGGTTTTTTTTGGGGGCCGAAGCTGAAAAAAGTTGGACAACTTTGATGAACAATTGAGGGAATTGCCGCGCGGGCCAAGGGATTGCGCTCCGGAAAAGCCGAACTTCTGAGTTCTGGCGCACATGCGCACCAACAATCAGCTGCCCGGCGCGCATGCGCACACCGGTTTTTGGCACTGCCGTGGATGCGAAGGACAGCTGATTGTCGTGCACGCATGCACGCCAGAATCCCGGAAGACAAACAGGCAAGGCCGCTCATGCTGGGTGACATGGCTTTGTGTGCCACTTTGGGCACGCGTGCCATAGGTTCGCCATCACGGACCTAGCATGTTATGGCAGATTCAGCCCATTATGGTTGATTAAGTAAATCATGGCTTAGAGAGAGATGTGTGAACACAGTCTTTGAATCAGACTGATATCTTCCTTGAAAGGAGCATAGCTTTTCTCAACTCTTTAAAGTGTTAATGGGATTCAGTAAGAGTAAGCAGTGCGATCCTAATGTAGATGATAGATAGATAGATAGATAGATAGATAGATAGATAGATAGATAGATAGATAGATAATAATAATGATGATAGATAGATGATAGATAGATGATAGATAGATAGATATAGATAGATAGATAGATGATAGATAGATAGATGATAGGTAGATGATAGATAGGTAGATGATAGATAGATAGAGATAGATGTTAGATAGATATAGATAGATACATAGATGATAGATAGATGATAGATAGATAGAGATATAGATAGAGATCGATAGATAGATGATAGATAGATATAGATAGATAGATAGATAGATAGATAGATAGATAGATAGATAGATAGATAGATAGATAGATGATAGATAGATGATAGATGATAGATGATAGATGATAGATGATAGATGATAGATGATAGATGATGGATAGATGATAGATAGATATAGATAGATAGATGATAGATAGAAAGATGATAGATTGATAGATAGATGATAGATAGCTATAGATAGATAGATAGATAGATAGATGATAGATAGATAGATAGATAGATGATAAATAGATAGATAGATAGATAGATAGATAGATAGATAGATAGATAGATAGATAGAAAGTAAGACTGGGTCTTATATTAATTTTTGCTCCAAAAGACGCCTTAGGGCTTATTTTCTGGCCAGGTCTTATTTTGGGGGGAAATACGTTACTAAATGCATCCATCTGGCTGATAATCTTAACTGGGGCTTATCTTGGGGGTAGGGCTTATATTACAAGCATCCTGAAAAATCATGCTAGGACTTAGTTTCCGGTTGGGTCTTATTTTCGGGGAAACAGGGTATATATATGTATGTATGTATGTTTGTGTGTGTGTGTGTGTGTGTGTGTGTGTGTGTGTGTGTGTGTGTATCAAAAGATTTGTTTTTTTAACGAGTAGCTTTTTTCCCCATTTTTTTTCCCCAAGGGAACAGCTTCTGAACAATGAAGCTTCCAGCCTGTTGCATAGCAACTTAACTCGCTAAGCATGTAGCAGGTGTAACATACGGAATACAGGATGACGTTAACACCGTTTCAGCTCTTCCGACAAATGGTTTTTTTAACAGCCTTGCAACATGTGGGAGCTGAGGGAGAACTTTTCTTGCCTTCCAAGTCTCTTGTTTTAAATAACTTTTGTCAAGTTTTCAAAAAAAAAAAAAAAAGATGTGAAGTTAAAAGATAAATAAAATTAGAAAAAGAAAAAGGCTCGGAAAGTATACATTCATTTTATAATCATCATTTTAGTCAGGATGCTAAAGGCCTTTTCCACATGTTTCCAACTACTCTGTTTCCCCTGATAATAAGCCTAATCGGGCTTTTGAGTGTATGCACTAAAATAAGTCCCCCTTGAAAATAAGCCCTCCCTGAAAATATTTAAACCTGTGCACAGCCAGTCCCCGCCATTTCTTCTGGTTTATTTTATTTATTTATTTATTGGTTCGATTTATATGCCGCCCTTCTCCGGAGATTCAGGGCGGCTTACAATGCGTTAAGCAATAGCTTTCATACTTTTGTATATACCTGCTTAGTAGGGCTTTCGCCCCCCCACCCAAGCGGTGTTCTTTTTTATACAAAGTCAGCTTATTGCCCCCACAATCCGGGTCCTCATTTTACCTACCTCGAAAGGATGGAAGGCTGAGTCAACCTTGAGCCTGGTGAGATTTGAACTCGCAGTAATTGCAGGCAGCTGGTATTACTTAACAGCACTTTTAGTCTGCTGCGCCACCAAGGCCCTTGATGGTTTCCTCCACGCATCCCAAAATAATAAGACCTCCCCAAAAATAAGGCTACACTATCTATCTATCTATCTATCTATCTATCTATCTATCTATCTATCTATCTATCTATCTATCTATCTATCTATCTATCTTTCTCTAGAGAGAAAGGAGGGAAGGAAGGAAGGGAAAAGAAGGAAGGAAGGAAGAGAAAAATATGGAAAAGAATAACTTCTGACTTTTTTTGATTCAGGTATAAATATAAGACTACATCAGACTCTTACTCTAAGATGAACATTTGTGCACATTTTGATAATTTTGAACATTTTGATAATTCCCATATAAGTGCTAATCACCAAATCCCCCAAATCAGGTTTTCGGGCCTTTTACTTCCTCGGCAAAAGTACAATCGTGGTTCTTTTCTTTCATCAAAACTGTCAAATTTTCTCCATCTCTGCCAATTCCACCACTCTTCAGTGTCCATGGTTGCATTGTAGGTGTCCTGTTTCCCTGAAAATAAGACATCCCCTGATAATAAGCCCAATCGGGCTTTTGAGCGCCTGCGCTAAATTAAGCCTCCCCCTGAAAATAAGCCCTCCCCGAAAATATTTAAACACAGAGCTGGAAATCAGGAAATCAGACGGCAAGAGGAGCCCCATCTTGCTCCATGCGCCCAAAATAATAAGACCTCCCTGAAAATAACGCTAAGCGCTTATTTCGGGGTTCAAAAAAAATATAAGACAGGGTCTTATTTTCGGGGAAACACGATATCTCTAAGTCCTTCCCCCTTTGAGGAGATAAAAATCCCGCTGCCGTTATCGTACATAAAAGCAGAGGTCCATATGAAGTTTCTGTTTTTTTGTCCGTTAATGTAGGTGAAGAGTAGGCAGGGGTGGTAGAGTTAAGAGAGTCATCAGCTTAGAATTGCTGCATTGCCACAAATGGTTCACCTCCAACTTCTCTTGAATTCTCTTGAATTTATCTGGCTCCAATTTAGTACTTTAGTCGACTCGATCCTTGTGAGTTGGCTTGAGCAATAAATCTTCCGAACTGGAACGTAATGCACAGAACCGATACTTTGTGCCTGAAAATTAAATCCAAAAAGAAAAGTGTTTGACTCTCTGCCAAGCCTGGAAGCAAATCTTCATTTTTCATTTAGGATGCTTATTTTATCAACACACCAAAAAAAAAGAAGTATGTAGGTGTACGCTGATAAATCATTACAGATGTACGCTGATAAGTCATTTCATTTCCCCATCATTCTTAAGAGTGCTTGCAGGCTGCGGTGGTTTAGATTAGCCATTGAAAGTGGCTTTAAATTAACATCTTGGCCTGGGGAGGTGCTTATAAACAGGCTCGTGTTGTTTTCTGCAGATAATCCACTCAAACGTGCTAATTTGGAGAAGTAAAGCATTGCTAGGTTTAACTGGAGACTTTTGGGGGGAAATTGTAGTATGTGCATTTGATGCCGATCATTTATAGAGGAAATCCTTCCGCCTTCTAAATTGTGGGGTCTTTGTTGCTCTCTGAGCTTGATTGTTTTCTTGCAGATGTTTCATGACCCAAATAGGTAACATCATCAGTGCGGGAAAGGAGTGAGGTTTGCTCTGTTTTATATACAAATGGCTTCCCACTCCACCTCCTTCTAGCACTGAGCATCAAGGACCCCACAGTTCAGTCCTGGGCTACAAATATTTTCTTCTATCACTCCAGTGGTGGGTTCCTCCCGGTTCGGCCCGGTTCTCCCGAGCCAGTAGCGGTGACGATATGATGTCACCAAACCGGTTCTGCCCCCTGCGTTATTCTTACCTTTTATTTGGCCCCACCCCCAATCTATTGCTGCCTCCTGAGTCCCAGCTGATCAGCTAGAGGGAAAAAAACTGTTTAAACTCTTGCCGCGGGGCTTCAAAGGGCCGCCCTACAGCTGATCAGTGTTAAAAGAAAACAAATGGGTAGACCAGTGCCTGCAAAAATACATGAGTAGATCAGTGCCTGCAAAAATAAATGGGTAGACCAGTGCCTGCAAAAATACATGAGTAGACCAGTGCCTGCAAAAATACATGAGTAGATCAGTGCCCGCAAAAATACATGGGTAGATCAGTGCCTGCAAAAATAAATGGGTAGACCAGTGCCTGCAAAAATACATGAGTAGACCAGTGCCTGCAAAAATACATGGGTAGATCAGTGCCCGCAAAAATACATGGGTAGATCAGTGCCTGCAAAAATACATGAGTAGATCAGTGCCTGCCAAAATAAATGGGTAGACCAGTGCCTGCAAAAATACATGAGTAGATCAGTGCCTGCAAAAATACATGAGTAGATCAGTGCCTGCAAAAATACATGGGTAGATCA